ATTTTTGGTTACAGGATTTCATCATCAGCTGATATTGGTTAGAGAATCATTGGGAAAACTGGGAGTACTGGACAGCTGTTTCATCCTAGTTTGGGACTCTTCATCAGTACGCACCCACTGGGATTCGAACCCAGAACCTCCCCTCACCAATCAGCTAAATTCCTACAAAGCAATACTTGAATCTCTAATTTTTATTCTGCAGATTACTACCCACAAAATTTAGGATTTTCAATTTTTAGCATATTCACTAGATTTCATACAATCACTTCGTTTTTGACCACAGTGATATTCGACTTAAGTCCTTTGTACAGTTTAGTAACGGCACAATGTAAGCAGAAATAAAACAAGTTTAACATGTGACAGATAGATATCTGCTAACATAGATCTTTTACTCAGCTCTGGAATACTGTACACGAATATTGTGTGTTAGCATGTATTCTCTTTTATTGCGAAAATTATACTGATCAGTATGGCAAATTATTTTCTTATCAGTTTATGAATATTAATTGTAAACAGATTGCCCATTTGTTTCAAAGTGTAGGTCTGTTGAATAGTCTTTTGGTTAAACTCAACCTCATCGCAGTAAGATAAATGAATAATGAGCCATAAGAATTTACAACATGGCAAACTTTTTAAATACTGTAGGCTCGATAGTAATACCAATTTACACCTGTTTTATAATACACAACCAAACTTAACGGAAATAAAAGTTACATTGAAAACATTGGAATATTATGTTACTGAAATGTGGTTCAATGCTATTTCCTCCGTAATCATTGAGGAAAGGAATCAAGCACCTTATTATGTTTACATCCACTAGGATTGTTTGTTCAGACATCACAAACAGTGGAAGTTTTGCACATCTATGATAATATATTTATAATTCTTACTATATGCCTGTAGTTTTGTAGATGCTCACTGAAGCGTAAATTTTTGCATTTAATCCTATGAAATATTCACAGGGTGATAAAAATTCTTCAACATTTTTACATACCGAAGAAAGGAAATGAAAGCATTAACCAGACGTTTTCTTCCGCAACACACTTATTGTTGGTAACTAAGGCACATTTTTTCACCAGTCATTTTTATCCCACTGACTATCTTTAATTGTAAGTAGCATCGTTCTTTTGATTCTGGTTATATATAGATGATCAATCTTTACTTACGAAAAAACATCACATATAAAGCGGAAAATGCAAAAAAGCTTAATGCGCATATGGAATACAAATGCTTCTAGTAATGCTTCATCTATACTGGATAGAGCAAGGGGGGGAAGTGTAACAGAATTTAGTGATTTCAGTGATTCCTTTTATCTACTTAATTTACTGAAGATTTACGATAACATAAATGCGGTGAGATTCAAAATGACCGAATAGTCAAGACTGTTTAAACTCAACCACTCACAAGGTTATTACGCTGTTATTCCAGATATATCTGGAAACCTGATGTAAGTTGGAAATACTGATATTCTGAAATTTGAGAAACCTGTTATTATAGATTGCTTAAAGGTATTCAAAAGTTAAAAACGGTCATTAGCACGTTTATAAAGATGGGACAAATCTAAGTGAACTACTTTAGATTTGTTACAGGATTTCATCATGAGCTGACATTAGTTAGAGAACCATCGGAAAACCTGGGAGTATTTGACAGCTGCTTCGTCCTAGTTTGAGACTCTTCATCAGTACGCACCCACCGGGATTCGAACCCAGGACCTTCTGGTTACAAGGCGAGCTCGTATACCTTAGATTTATTGAAGTGACGCAGAGAAAGCGAGATGTCAGGTTTGAAAAAAACATAGTGCTATAATGTAGACAGAAGTGTTGACAATAGACCTTGTTACAGTGTTCACTTTCATCATATCTGTTGACATGACTTAGTGTTTAAAACACACACATAATAAGTAAATTCCTTTTCGTGGCTTAGAATTAACGGTTTAATGCCAAAGTTAATCACAACAAAGGAATCTCAGGGGATATCATCTGCCACTGAGAATTTATCGAGTTTTCGGAAAACTGAGCTGCCTTATAGCATGAAGATTTGCCCTGATTATTTACATAAGCACATAATATCAGCACTAGCTATTTTGTTAATTACATTTTCTAAAATAGGATGACCATCTCTGTCAACTGTAATTAACCATTTCAACGAATCACAGTATAACAAATAACCAAGTTGTTTGACAGTTAAAAATTCCTCCTTTTTTGTTATTTATTTCGATAAAAAAGCGCAATTACTCTTGGAGTGTTTCATTTAAACCAATTTGCAAACTTCTTATTGTTCCTATTCATGACATTCAGGCAAGATTTCGTTTCCCGTAATTTACAAAATGCTTCAGGGAGGGTTATTTGGTGGCATAAAACAAAAACATTTCTTCCACATGGTTCCCTTGATAAATTTTTAGAAGGCAATTAAGACCAAATTTGCAGCATAAAATACCATCATTCTGTCTCACAGGTTCTCATCACCTGCAGTGGTTATAAGAGAATGAAAATATCATACTTTGAATGGTAGTAGAAGAAATGGTACAAAAATGAACGGATCCGAAACGTAAGCATCACAGTTTTTCCTTTAAGTTACCCTCAATGTAGATGCCTTTCAAAGTGGAAAACAAAGAGGGACGAGGTGAAGACAGAAAACCAGAAAAATCCGACTAACGGTGTTAGCTTATAAGTTTACACGGCAATTCAATGAGGCTATAGTTCACAAGAGTGAGATTGACTCAGTGATACAAGTATAAAACTTGGTCACTGTAGTAGAGTATAACTCCATTATAGATAAAATTTCATTTTGATAAATCACGCAGTGTTATACAGTAATATTAAGTGATGACGTTTCGAGTAAAATTTATTGCTCATAATCATATCAGGGTACTCACACAATTTTCTAACTTAGTTTATATAATTCCGTTATTTTCCGTTGCTTGATACGATTGGTAATAGTATTTGCTCTGTGAACTGAAATCACTAAAATGGATGACTAATAAATGTGATCAAAGTGCAGTTATTAAGGGAATGAACGATCGGTTGCATTCCCTTTTTGTATGCATGAATTTGGTTTGAAAAGTTTGATTGCAACTGTTTTAGCAGATGGTAGTAAATCTAATGTCGTGTGTTTAGTATTCTGAAAGATTTGCAAATCCCAACAGTGTCACGTATCCGTAAGGCTTCTGGTAATTGCACTTTGCGAATATCCACTTCCATTTGGGCATACGTTTCTTGGAATATTCTTTCTGTCCTTTCAAAGTTCTTGTTACGACAAGTGCACGAAAATTTGTACAGTCAGTTGGCAGTGACATCAGCAATTACTTGTCCAGTTGAGATTGGTTTATTGAGCATGCGGTGGTGCATAGTGTTATGAGCTTAGCTGAAAAGAAGCCAATAATTCACTTTTGCTTATATTCTTTTGTTAATTCTTTGGTATATTCCCACTTTAAATGGAAAATGAATAAAGACTTTATACTTTTCCACAGTTGGGTGTTTCATTTTTTGTCTTTTTCTTTGCTATACCTTATGATGAATCCCTTTAAATACACATTCCTTCTTAGGCATTTCTCAACAAATTTTGTTTCTCTTTCCGGTGTATTGAGTGAAGATAACTTCCTGGCTCTGTCGTAAATTATCCTTACTATACCATGTTTATAGCTTATAGGACAGAAGCTGTTATAGTGAAAATATTTTCCAGATCAAGTTTCGTTTCTATAGATAGATGTTGACTTGATTTCATCTACATCAGAGTTAAAGGCCGGGTGTAAAAGATGTATCGTAGCTGACGGGAATACTTCGGTATGTTAAAAAACCCGTTTTTGAGAAAACTGTAGATGACTACGTTGCTTCCAGTGACCTGCAACAGGCAAAGCACAGTAGTTATCAAGAATATTACAAATAGACTTGCAATACAGGTAAATACTATGATAACTATTTGTTTGATAATACTTCTGACAAAAAACATACCCATGGCAATTAAACTAAGTACCTTGTTTTCATTTAATTTCAATTTTTCTATTTGTGCTGTCTTTCTGTTTAACATCAAAGTTTTACTTTCTTCTAAGTGATATTATCTTTTCGATTGTTGTTTTTAACGTTTGGATGATTAGTTTGTGCCATTTATTTAAATCATGCTATCAGCCTCCGTGTTCTGTCTGCAAAACAGGTTTTTTCTTGGTTGGATAAGCTCTACAGTAGTTCAGAAATCATTCTAATTTAGCCTATTCTTAAATATGGCAGTCTTCAGATTGTCAAAATAAGGAAAATCTCATTGCACACCAGTCTGCTTTAGAAATATATTCATCATATACTGTTTATTTCCGTGACTCACCAATTCTTCACCATTAACCACTTAAGTTTTGATTTTTCGCTTCTGTAGACAAATAGAAAGACCATCTTATACGAAGCTCCTGTGTCCCTTAGTTTATTTGCTTTATGAAATGTCAAGACAGGAAAAAACTTCACTATTATGAAAAATCTTTGATTTTGGACAATAATTAGACATCATGAAGAATAGAAAATTACTTATGGTAGATATATATACTAATTAAGGATATGTGCGCGAGTATGTGTCCATATGTTTTCAATAGCAAACACATCCCTACAAATGAGTAGTGAATATATATATATATATATATATATATATATATATATTCTGCATCACGTAGAAATCTAAATAAAAGAAGACTAATGGACCAATTAGATCTGCCTCTTAACAGTCAACCAACCATAGCCACCACTGTCAGTTTTATTAGCAGACGTTACAAACACAAGTAGAAATGTTTTACTAAATAGGAAATATTTTGTAGATTATCTTTAGTGGGAAATACACACAATGATGATAAGTGATAAGGTTACACAAGTTTCTGTACAAAAATAAACATTTGAATCTTGTTAAAGTGTACGCGAATTTCAACTTGGTCATTTTGTCCAATGTGTAGAGCTTTTATCTCAGTTAAACTCACTGATAGTAACATAATTCTTCATTCCTAAATAATAATCCAGGATAAAGTATTTATGGAAAATATATCGAACAAAATATCTCCCCTATTTAACAGACTTTTCAGTAACCAGTTATTCGACCGTATAATAAGCGGTGACGACCATGTTAACAGTTCAGCTAATACTCATCATGACAATAATTCTCATGAAACTTCTACTAAAAATGAATACCAGAAGAATCCTACATCTGGTATACCAGATTTTCAGTATCACACACAAAGTAGATATTGTAAGTGACTCTATTTTTCTTTTCTCAGCTTATATATGAAAGTTGGAATTCCTGTTTAAACTTTTAATTATACTGGTTTTAATAACACGTTGATCAAGTGTGTATCTGAAAAATCAAAAGGTAGGAACAATTCACGGCTAACTCTAAATAGAATTTTCCATTTCATATTAACTGCTAGGAGATATCCCCTGTTTACCTAAATAACATAATGAGTTTCATGAATGCTGACTTAAGTTTTTATCGAAGTTAACAGTAATAAACTCTGGTACATAGTTTGCGATTAAAGTTCTTATTTATGAGAAAATAATTAGGGTTTTTTAAGCGTCTGAAATCTGTACTGCATTGTAATGCAAAAATGAATTACAAAATTAAGCTTGCCATGTTATAAAATGGTCATAACATTCAATTCGACTAGGACAACGTTCAAATATTAGACAAAGGAAATAACAAGAATGCTAGAGAATTTTTAGAAGCTTGGCATTCCAGTGGATCATCAATCAATAGACACATCGAGATAGACAAAATTTATCAACCAATAAGAAAGAAACTTCATACACAAAGGGTCAAAGTTCAAGTCAAAGAAACAACCGGTTCCAATACAAGTAACCTAGAAGGTGTGAAAACACACACAAACAACCAATCACGTCCAAGGTCACCAGGAGAGATGATTAATAAACTCGTGGAGAAATCTAAAAGCTCACTTCAAATTGAAGTATGCGCTGAAGATGTCACCCAGTAAGGTGATGAAAGCTTCGCAAACTAACCATCCAGCTCAGAGAACAAAACCACATCAAAATTCTAGGGGAAACTTATTAATGTCTATAGAATGATCACTAATTCTTTTCTTATCACTTGCCACCGTGAAAATGTTCCTATGCAAATGCAAGTACACTAGGATACATTATTCCCATTACTTTAGCGTTTTCTGACCCTTGCTGTAATCAAGACAGTTTCTGGTCTATGAAACCTATTTACTTGTCGACATTTATACATTTATATACTTCATGAATCTCCCATAAATGTAATATTCTCGTCAATGGAGATGAAAGAAAGCCTATATCAGAGCACAATTAGTTCTGCCATTCACTAACATGAAAGCCTGTAGTACAGTTGATGCTGAAAAATATTAGTTAAATAAGGATGGAAGTTCAAAGGGTCCTGGTCTACATAAGGTTCCTGCCATCAAAATGAATAGTAAAATGGTATCCTAGTTTCTAAACGGTAATCTAGAGATTCTTTAATATTGTTAGTCAGTTTCATCTGCGATATTTTCCATTGAACTGGGCATATCCTTACAGGAAGTCTAAATGGGGTGTGTTTAGATTTATTTAATGTGAAAACAAATGATCAAAGTGATGAAAAACATCGACAAAACAAGTGTTACTTATATTTATCATATTTGTAAATATAAAAGGTTTTACTGATAAGTTCGTGGAGCCAATAGTCATTCCGTGTCTCAGAAAAACTAAAATTTGTATTATTTGTATTCAATCCAAATTTATGGCCCTACTAGAGTGCGCCACCGCAACTCTATGATGTTCCAGCAACTGTGGGACTATTCTCATTTGAATTCCCCTTAATGTGCGTCGGTGGCAGAGTAGTTAGGACTCTCGCCGACCATGCACATGGTCCGGGGTTCGAGCACGCACCGACGCACACCTGATATCTATGGTCGGCCTTCAAAATTTGGGCTACCGATATCCATGCTGAAAATTCCATACTTGTACCGAAAATACAGTGTGGAATCAAGCAGTAAATCAAAAAAAAATAAAATAAATTTAAACTAGTTTCCAAAAGTTGACTGAAGACGTTCACAAACAATCTAATTTTAGAATTTATGTGTGAATTCTACAATTAGTAATTTATACTTTCTTTTTAACAGACATAAATGGACATCTCTAAGTCGTTACGGTGGATGCAATCTCAATAAGTCCTCAGTAAAAATCAGTTATCTTTTGAGTTAGTGCATATAGTTACAAGAACCCGCATATGTGACATAGGTCTACATGCGGATATATTACATTGATATTTCCTCATGAATTTATCATCATGGCATTAGATTTCTATTTAGCTTATTAAATAAATTTGAAGTGTGAAATATTCCCACATTATGAATAAAAAGTCAATCTGAACGAAGAATATCCTTTTCAATAATTTCTCCTCTTCAGGTTCTTACAATTATAAAATATAATATTTATTGTCATTACAATAAAGGCGAGTTATGCGACGGATACATTTTTAACATAGAATAACAGATTAGTTATGGGGTGTCAAAATAAATAGTCTTATTTGTGTGACAAACGTGCTTTGGGCTGAAATCAATTACCAAAATATTGTAAAACTGGAGACAATGGTGATGATTAATCATAATAGATTTGTAGAGTGTGTGGTAGGAAAATTGACAAATAAGTCAGTTCAAGGTTATAAAAGGTGTCAGGTGAGTGAGTGGCTAGTACAAAGTGGTCTGTGTTAAACAGGAGATAGTAAGACTGCAATGAGAGGTTCATAATGAAATAACGAATGTGTGAAATGAAACAGGTGGAGGCATTTATTGAGAAAAGAGAGAATATCACTAATAATAAGTCCGGATAGTATAAATCAAAAATTCGATAGTATTGAGGGAATGTTTGCATGAAGGGCATAAATTATGAATAATAATAATATATGTGTCCAAACCAAGTTCACTTTTAACGGTAGCAAATTCACTATGTAAACACACACTACTTTCATAATTCTACACACTGATAAAATCCAACAATCTACACTTGATTTCGTTATCTTTACCCATTCGCCAAATTGACAACAAAAAAAACAACCCAGACTGACGAACGATGATCAAGTATTTCACAACCTACACTTAGTTTGGTCACCTTTACCTATTCTCCAACTTGACAACCTAAATGATCCCAGACTAGCGAACGATGATCAAGTTAGTAAACTTTGTTTTGATATAATAACAGATATACTATTACCTTTGATATTTGGCTTCAACGATCTTCATTGTTATTTTGACTTTCAATATGTCCTTTTAAGTTGAACTAAGTCTATATTTCTCTCACCCCCTAACTCTTTGTTATATATAAGCTGAGATTTTGTAAATTCCGGTTTAATAATACTTTGAGAAAGCTATTAGCATTAAATAGCGAAACGTCAGTAAAAACAATCTCGTTTTGTTTTTCATTCATTGGGAAATACAAAAAAACCTCTGTTATAATGAATAATAATAATAATTGTAATAATAACAATTGTAACAATAATAATTGTAATATTAATATATGTAATAATAAGCAAAGGAAAAACACCAAGAGGGTTAAGGGGAAGGAGCACTCTTAGTGAGAAGAAAAATCTTCAATCCAAGTTTGGTCACGGTAGGAACAGCGTCTGGACGTGTTCATTTTGGATACAAAGGTTCGGTTTAGTTGATCTTATTGCAACAGCTTCAGCTATGTGTAGGAGATGTAAGCGAACTGTATGTGATAATGACTTCGGAATTCGGTATATAACCATGAAAGCTGTGTTGACATCGATACGATTTCCAGTATCGTCCAAGTGTGACAGGATCGAGCTTTTTATGCGCTTAATTCCCCCCCTGCTGAACCAAGCTGGTAAATGTTCTCGAACCCGTAGACGAACCCGCCTAATCTTGCGCCCTATATAACTTGAACCACAGAAACAGTTGAAATGGTATATGCATGAAGAAGAGCTAAGGTTAGCTAAGACATCTTTGATTTGCTGGGTGAACATTGGACGCCTACGATCCTGTCACTTTTGGTCGATACTGGAAATCGTATCGATGTCAACACAGCTTTCATGGTTATATACCGAATTCCGAAGTCATTATCACATACAGTTCGCTTACATCTCCTACACATAGCTGAAGCTGTTGCAATAAGATCAACTAAACCGAACCTTTGTATCCAAAATGAACACGTCCAGACGCTGTTCCTACCGTGACCAAACTTGGATTGAAGATTTTTCTTCTCACTAAGAGTGCTCCTTCCCCTTAACCCTCTTGGTGTTTTTCCTTTGCTTATTATTACATATATTAATATTACAATTATTATTGTTACAATTGTTATTATTACAATTATTATTATTATTCATTATAACAGAGGTTTTTTTGTATTTCCCAATGAATGAAAAACAAAACGAGATTGTTTTTACTGACGTTTCGCTATTTAATGCTAATAGCTTTCTCAAAGTATTATTAAACCGGAATTTACAAAATCTCAGCTTATATATAACAAAGAGTTAGGGGGTGAGAGAAATATAGACTTAGTTCAACTTAAAAGGACATATTGAAAGTCAAAATAACAATGAAGATCGTTGAAGCCAAATATCAAAGGTAATAGTATATCTGTTATTATATCAAAACAAAGTTTACTAACTTGATCATCGTTCGCTAGTCTGGGATCATTTAGGTTGTCAAGTTGGAGAATAGGTAAAGGTGACCAAACTAAGTGTAGGTTGTGAAATACTTGATCATCGTTCGTCAGTCTGGGTTGTTTTTTTTGTTGTCAATTTGGCGAATGGGTAAAGATAACGAAATCAAGTGTAGATTGTTGGATTTTATCAGTGTGTAGAATTATGAAAGTAGTGTGTGTTTACATAGTGAATTTGCTACCGTTAAAAGTGAACTTGGTTTGGACACATATATTATTATTATTCATAATTTATGCCCTTCATGCAAACATTCCCTCAATACTATCGAATTTTTGATTTATACTATCCGGACTTATTATTAGTGATATTCTCTCTTTTCTCAATAAATGCCTCCACCTGTTTCATTTCACACATTCGTTATTTCATTATGAACCTCTCATTGCAGTCTTACTATCTCCTGTTTAACACAGACCACTTTGTACTAGCCACTCACTCACCTGACACCTTTTATAACCTTGAACTGACTTATTTGTCAATTTTCCTACCACACACTCTACAAATCTATTATGATTAATCATCACCATTGTCTCCAGTTTTACAATATTTTGGTAATTGAT